AAGAAGCTTCGGTAATTATCTTGCAAGAAGCTTCGAAGCACTACTTATAATATTTGTTTCAGCCCTAATGGCCATAGTGATTACTTAAAGATTTGAGGATAATAATTAATACTTTAGGGAAAATATAACCCTAACTTTTACTACAGAGCATCAAAAACCATAGATGATAATTTGTAGGTTTGAATTTTTTACCCAAAGTAAAATCATAACAGGTTAGGAACATATAATACTCTCAGTTCTGATATGAATCAATAGTGAAACTTCAGCTAAAACATGTCTTTCCCTAGGTCACTCAATTTTAAATGGTATTGCAGAAACAAAAATTCAATAAAGTACATTTACAGTCAGCCAACAGTTCAACATTCAAGATCTAAAGTTACTAAGCATAAAACCTATACAGATGACAGTGAATTGGAATAGAGAAAATACCACAATTTAAAAAATGTGGATTTTAACTGTTGAAGTTTTTAATTAGTTAAGGTACTTTATTTGTTAAAACTCCAGTAGTCCTTAGAATGGAGTACTTACTTCTGTCTCTCTGCTTTATATGAAGCTGTAAGTTCATCAAATAGTTTGGAATTCATCTCCATGAAAGTTTTGAGAACATTATAGACCAGAGAAATAATGGTTTGGTTCCAGTGTTCTTTAGATATCCGATATAGAGCTGGGAACATGATGGGCAAGATGACTTCATTGTTTTCTTCCATTAGACTTAATATGTACTCGTTGTTCCAAAAATAAAGAGCCCTTTCAGCAACCTGAATACAACATTTTCAGTTTGAATGAATCATTTTCTTTTTATCACTATCTACAAGTAATTAATGAATATTTCTTCTCAAAAGTGTTCACAGATAATCATTGATATAAAATATGATTACGAATAACTTAAAATACTACAAACACTGCAGTTTTCCCCAAAGTGACACTTACTTGAAAGTGAGGGCTTGAAACACAACGGGCTACCTGCTTAAAGAGAGGATCTTGTATTTTGACAAATTCAGAAGGTTCTATCACATCCAGAATTTCCTCCATCTCACCAAGAAACATCACCTGTATGTTAAAATTTCAGCATTTAGAATGTATATTAACAATGGCAAATAGAAGAAAAATTTGTATTCAAGATTTGCCCTACTATTCTACTGTGTCTAACAAATGATGCTATTGTAAACTATTATAAACTCATATTTACTATATATTACAGCTGTCTGTGAAAGCTAGTCAAGTAGAATTTAGCAGACTTAAGTTAATTGAAAATACTTCTTCTTCAGGCAAGTTGTTCCAGTACCATAGTTAAACCACATGCCTTAAGAAATTCATATTCTAAAAAAAAACAAGCTAAAAGTTGCACTCCACCAGTAAAGAAATGAGATACCATTAACAAATAAAACTTGAAGGAAGTTAATACTAGCAACAGAAGGAAATGTTGCTCCCTCAGACTAAACAAGTTAATACTAGCAACAGAAGGAAATGTTGCTCCCTCAGACTAGAGTAAACAAGTTAATACTAGCAACAGAAGGAAATGTTGCTCCCTCAGACTAGAGTAAACAAGTTAATACTAGCAACAGAAGGAAATGTTGCTCCCTCAGACTAGAGTAAACAAGTTAATACAAACAACAGAAGGAAATGTTGCTCCCTCAGACTAGAGTAAACAAGTTAATACAAACAACAGAAGGAAATGTTGCTCCCTCAGACTAGAGTAAACAAGTTAATACTAGCAACAGAAGGAAATGTTGCTCCCTCAGACTAGAGTTTTACATTATTATTATTAATACAGCTGCATTAATGCATCCTGGAGCTTATTGTTTCGTATAGAACCATTGGTCAGGTTAGGGCTCTATAGTGAAAATTGTTCTATACACAAGTATTACCAGTTTTCCTTTAACTCTCTGAACCGGGGGTCGATCTAATTGACCGACCTCGTAACCACTTTGTACTCGTTATAGTTTCCATACTATAACTTTTAATACAGTATGTGTATCTTCACAAAATTTGTCAGACTTTTAGCAAACATTACATGTGTCATTTGTACACAGAAAATCAGTTTTTAATCAAGTACTTTTACTAAAGATTTGTTCACAAATACAAATTTTTTTTACCAAGTACGAGTGCAAATTAAGATTAGAAATACCTTTCTTTATTTCAAAAATCTCAAATTTCATTTGTATAACCTCTAAAACAACTTTTTTCAGTAAGATTTTATATTCTATCTATTATTACCTCTATCCTAACAATAATATTTGATTCTGCAGCCAATAGACAAATCAAAGTATAATAAAAAGTTGTAAAATCAGCAATAAAATAAGCAGCTGGGTCCTGAGGTTTCAAAGTAATTCTCTTGAGGGTTTGAACTGCTAAACATTTTACATATATTTTCTGTGTTTATTTTACTGTCAACAACTGAAGTAGCAATCCGCTGAAAATAAAGCAACACATAACTACTTGTGTTATTAGACTGTGACATTGAAATACGATATTTTCGATAGTAACAAAGCACATGCAAAGAAATAAGCTGACTTGATCCCTACTCTGAGAACACAATGTGGAATTTATTGGCCTATGTAACTTAGCGTTTATAACAAGAATTCTTCACTGTAATAACATTGCACTTTGAAAATGTTTTAATAAAAATACCTAAACTTTAAGCATTTGTGAATAAATAGTATTTATTGGTTGATGAATAAGTTTGCTGAAAGGGAAATAGCATTTTATAACCATGTGCACAAGTAATATTTTTGCCTATATTGTATACCGCTAAATTTGAAACACCCTAAAAGGATGACCAATACTCAAACACTTATATGTTTATTGGATTGGCTCCAAGCCATATAATAATTTTTTTTCACAGTTTTAAAGTGTTCAGAGCAACAACTTAATCTTCACACTTTAACAGTTACTTCAAAATTAGGACTTTCTTCTTCAAGCTATTTACAAACGACCAAGATTTACTTACACAGGAAACTGCTCTCTCTTAGTAGTAAACACTTAAACAAAAACATTAGGTGGGACTATACAATAGGTTTCAAAAGAATGTAGTAGTGGGAGGAGCCACTCTACTAGATTGGCAAAATATATTGACATCTCAGCAAATCAAAGAGGTTCTTATTTTATATTATGGTTTTTCCCATATCTCAAATTTGAGTTTCTAATTCATTAACCACTGTACATTTGTATGATACGCATAATAAAATATAAACTAAGCAATAAGATAAAAGGAGGTGCTATGTGACAAACATTGATATTTAACATTTTTTTAAATATTTTCTTTTGAATTAAGAAATTAAAACAGATATAATATTAAAATTTGAATTACAAATTGTATTTTGATGTTAATTCCATAGACACAAGTAATAGTAAAGTTCTTTAATAAAAAATTTTCAAAATAATTAAAAAGCCATGATATGCACTTTAACCTGCCCATAGTGAAAGGGTCAATGTATTGTCACATTACTCAATCAATGCAATTTTGTTTTTCATCTTCAACTGAGGAAACACACTGCCAGCTTCAAAGTACTTGGAACATAACCTTGAAAAAGGGTAAATTTTGTATGAAATGTAAAGTTTCACCAAACCTGAATAAATCTGGAACTTATTTTAAAAAATAAGTCAGGTTCATAATATGCACAAATACAAACAAATATGAAGTAAACTCAAACAAATTTAGTTCCACAGAAGTAAAACAGTTAGTTAAATTTAGAAGATTCTGTTTAACTCTCATCAGTACACCTTTAAAAAGTTTATGTTGTGGAACACCTGGGGGTCCAACCAGACCCCAGCAAGAAAGTACCATCATACCACTATTGAAGTTCCAAAACTAATTACATTACAACTTTTATGATGGTTAGCATGCAATGTGAAGCAACATAAAAATAGATGTATTCTAGAGGAAGTATGTTGACAAATCAAGAAATTACAGCACATTGTTCCTCTGTACACAGATTAGTATTAAACCATTCCTTAAACAAATGGTATATAAAAAAAAATGCCAAAGTGTTGTTATACTCCTATATTTAAATCATTATCCACCAATATATGATGAGATCAGCACAATACTGCAAAATTTAACTCCAAAAAAAACTGAAAGTGTATGTTGTGGATCCGAACAGACCCCAACACAAATGTATCCTTATAGTAGGCTATAGATTGAAGATCTAAAACAGGTTATTTAAAATAATTTTCAAACAAGGTTTCTATAAGATTGGGCATTGTAAGCATTCATCACAGAGAATACTTGTTGAGGAATGAGATGTTCATGCATAAATGTTACCACAATGATATTATAAGCAAACATATGAAATGATACTGTACTAATGAATCTAAGTTTCAAATGGACAGCAACTGCCTGTTGTAGAAACCTACAAATGTAGAGGACGATGTTTCGAAACATCGTCCTCTACATTTGTAGGTTTCAACGATGGGCAGTTGTTGTCCATTTGAAACTTACATTCATTATGAATACTCTGCCTAAACAACCTATCAAAGATACTATACTACATTGATGAATTATCCTCTATAATATCCTATATAGTGAAATAAGTGAACAGAAATTTGTTTTGTATGGTACAGGGTAAACTGCATGTATAGTGATGTTCCCCAGAAAAATATTAGATTATAGCTACATACTCTATCTGCCTGTTTCAAAAACAAGTGTCATACTGATCCAGGGTTTTTGCTTGACAATTAATTGAGTTGATATAAATTTGTAATGATTATGTAAAAAGATATACAACCGAGAAAGTCACGAAGCTCCATGTGGAGCCCAGATGTACTGATGAGGGTTAATAAGGGGAAACTTTTACAAGTAAAACAATGTAGTTTGTAGTTATAACATGAAAGTTGGATAAAGAAATTTTATTATTAGTGATTTGAGTGTATGTGAATACTTGATATAGAGGGACAATCATTTTCAGACAATTCTGAAAATCCTACGTGTTCATTTTGCAGTCTCCACATGTGTGTCCATTATGACAATAAGTTGACAACCAGGACAGATAACAGTATTGCGATATTTAATTCATTATTCTTTTATAGTGCTGATTTAATTGCCTGTAAAAAATTAATGTAATCAACAGTTTGTAATATACATAAATATATTGAAAAGTATTTAAAAAAAAACAACAAATAAACCTTCGCACTTTCCAGAAGTCATGATGGAGATTGCCTGTGGTAATAACACCCAAAAGTGTAGAAAATTGATGATCTAATTGCTATTAACAATCAGTACTTTTCACCAAGTATAATATGTTCAAAAGAACTTGAAACAAGAAAAAAAATAAAAAAAATAATATATATATATGCTAATTATTTAGATTTGGATATCAAATTAGTAAATGGAAAAGCACAACTAAATATTTTTGATAAGAGACTAGCATTTAATTTTCCCATCCTTGGTCTGCCCACCCCTAATAGTGCAGTTCCTCGTATGATGCTGAAAGGCATTATTACGTCTCAATTTAAAAAATTGTTAACCGTTTGTAATAACATCACGTTTTTTTGTTTTTTTTATCGATAATGTTATATTATTCATACCTAAATTAGAAAATACTAGATACAAATACTGGCAAATAATAACGTTTTTTGCAAGTTTTTATAATAAATTTCAAAATATTTTATTAAAAAATTTTCAATAAAAAAAACCTTTTTTGTCAGCTACTTTTAATATTAAAATTTATTCAGTATAGCCTGGACTGGAAAGACTAACTTCAAGTATCTGGGCTTGTCCTGTGCTATATTTGAATAATGTGACAATATAAACTACTTAAGGTAAGTCTTGTAGTTGTTTTAAGATTTTTTTTTTAATAAGGCATTTTCAGAAAAGGGTGGAGGTTGGGAGTAACATGTAGAATTATTAGGGTGGAGGATGGTAGGCATTATTTATAGAAACATATTTTTGGGGTGGCTTAATTTTATCTTATTTCTACCTTTAACTTTATTACATCTTTTTAAGGGTAACTGCCTTCCCACAACTGGCTGCAGACAGTGAAAGGTAGTAAGAGTTGAGACATTGAGGGTGTAAGCACTCATCTCTGTACCCTTAATGAATTTTCCAAAACTGCTGACTGGTTTCTCATCTGCTTTTTGGATTTTGTCTAATAGATGCGATATCCCCAACGTTTTTGGGTGCTATTTCCACAGGCAATCTCAGTTATGACTTTTGGACAATGACTGGAAAGTGCAAAGGTTTTTTGGTTTTTTAAATAGAGATTTGGATTTATATCAAGTTTATTATTGTTTTATAATGCTCATCTTGATTGCCTATTGATAATTAACGTAACTGATATAACAATTTTGAAGCTATACCTCTTATTATATATTTAAACACACACAAATAGTCCACATAAAAGTGAAGTTAGGATGCAATCTTTACAGTGAAAAATCCTAATTTGAAATTGAAGGTTTACAGATGACTCCATATTGAACCTAAGGTAGAAGTTATATCTAATGCTGTTTCTTAAGAAATTAGTTACCTAAGTAAGGAAGGTTTGAGAACATGATACTTAAAGCAAAAAGAAAGCTCCGTCATAAGGTTAATCTTTTTTTATGTAAAACGATGAGACCTAAAAACTATTCCAGTTATCCATTTTTTTTTAATATATTCTTTGTCCTCTTCCTTCAAAGATGGCCTAAATCCTATTTTTTAAATCTGTTCTATAACATAGTTTAAGCTCCCCTATTACATCATACTTCTATAATGTCACATGTTTTTCTAAAAGCTGTATAATGTGTTTAGTACTGTTATCTGTTGCTTTAAAGATTAGTCATATTCACTACATTCTGAGAATTTGATTTCCATAGTAAATATGCAAACTAAAGAAGCAAAAAAATAATATGTACTACTTAAAGGATACTGTTTTCCAGTTATAAGCTATGAATATGTTCTCACCCAAAACATATTTCCTAAATATTAACATTTCCCAGATATAAGAAGGTATTTTGTATTCACTTAAAACATTACTACTTTCCAAATATAATTTTTTCCAGGTATAAGCATTAAGTATTCACCTAAAACATACTATATCCTAGATATTATATTTTCCAGGCATATTACCAAGGGTAAAATATTCCTAAAAATGTACTACAGCCAACATATCATGCTTTCCAGACACATTAACAACATTCGAGTATTCACCTAAAACATACTACAGCCTATTAGGCATATGACACCATTCATAATGTTAGGAAAACATGAAGGTTCAAAAATCAATTAGACTAGAATATGAACCCCTACAGGGTTTTTACCAAGGATAAAGCACTCACCTCTTTCTGACTGCAAGTTTTTGGCCAAAACTTCATCAGTCCTTTGACTACCTATTTGTGAAAATGCAATATATATGTCAAAATCTTATTCAACAGAAATATAAGTACGTAATCAACAGAAAATCCTTTAATAACAAGTTTTTTATTCTTGGCTAGATTAGAAAACTAAATAATCCATAAAACTTAACCTTCATTAAAAACAAAAAAATGTTTACTATATTCCAAACTGTTTTTCATATTCATAGTATCATACTCATCTTTTCATTAACTGAATTCCTAAAGTAGAAAAATTTTAGGGATTACAGATCAAACTAATCAACAGAGAGCAATTAGATACCTAAAAAAAAAGAAACTTTAGTAAAAGCAAATGGAACTTTCCAAACACAAACATGTAATCAGTTGAAACTTTGAAGAGTGTGGAACAAAATGCTATGTAATAAAGATAAACAATAAAAAAAATGCAAAGAAAACTGTGTCAAGGAAACCAAGTAGCTTTGAAGACACACAAGTGAAACCACTTTTTGGTAAACAGAAAAATGTTAGACACTACATTCCAGTAAAGAATTTCAACAACTTGTATTCAAACTTCCTTGTTTTCAAAGTTTGGAAACCAAATCTTAATCAGAAGATGAGTGTACTACCATTAAAATTGACACAGAGCTAAAATCTTGCAAGTGTGAGATGTAAGTGGACAAAACACTTATGTTTTTATGACCAACATAAATCTTAGCTACTTTCCAGAAAAAAAAGTGGGTAGGGGAGTTAACATCATTATTTAACAGATCAAGTGTCCATAAAGTAGATTTTTGCCAATAAAATCAAAATATATGACATTCTAAGTGAACATCTATAAGCAAGAATAGCAAAAATATTTTTCCAGTTATCATCAACAAACTTGTGTAGTTTCACATAAACAACAAGTCAGACTTTGCTACCAAATAGTAATTTTGTCACCACAATGTATAATAAAACAATGCAAATACCAAGCCAAAACAGTTCAATGTTCAGGTGCACCTTTTTATTGTTAATTGAAAAATGAAATATCAAGGAAAACCAGTATACATTCTTTTACCTGATCAGTAAGGGTTGCATCTTTTTCCAGGAATTGAACAACACAGTAAGCCAACTGCAAAAAAATTAACATTGAAATAAACAAACAGCATAGAACTAAAATAAAAGTTAATTATTATAATAATAATAAGAGCAAAATGAGTTTAGCTCCTTATTTTGTACTAGTTCAACATTTCTTAAAAACAATTTTGTATATTTTGATGTTTAAAAACAGAAAATGAGTACCATGTTCCCATTAAATTAGGGTTCCAAAAAATTTCAAAATTTCATTTCTCTGACAATGGTTTTAAACTTTTTTTTCTGATCAAATAATAAATAAAGAACTTGCCCTCAACTGTCAAGGACAGTTAAGCCTCATTTTTTTATAGTAATTACAGTAATGCACTTTACAATTTTTATTTAATTAAATAATGCATCAAAGAATATAGACTAATAACATGCAAAAAGTAGACAAATTCCTTTACCTATCAAAATTTTTGGCTTTCTAACTATGCGACAAGAGTCGTTACAAATTCATCTAAGCTAGTCGTTAACTATCCCATTGGAACAAATCTTGTACTGTGAGTGAAATTGACGATATTCTGTTCAGAACACAATGTTATACAATACGTCATTTGACAGATGAAAACCTTAACTTTCTATTGGTTTTAAGTAACATATAATGGAATGTAAGGGAGAACTATCAACAAATTGTGAAAGAGGATGTGGCAAGAGGGGTCTGATTTTCTATTCAATAGCTCTGTAACCAAACAAAATTGAAAACTATAAAATCGTTATTGCTCAGACAAACCATAATTTTTAGAGTAATTTATGCTTAACTTTATACTATTTCATGGGGTGGTGTATAAAATAGGGATGATGACATGCTACGAGAAAATGTGTCATGTGGGTTACACTAGTGTACGTTCAGGATTGTTTTAAATATTGCCTTGTAGAATTAAGAACTTAACAGTTATATACCATTAAAATATGGATTATTAGCCAGGATTTTATGCTATTCTAATTTGTATGCCATAAATAAAAAGTGGTTTAATATAATTTTGAATGTAAGACACAAAGCTTGTGTCATGTGCAGTAAAGGGTTTCCGGGGCGATAGGTTTAATGTATGTCAATAAACTTGCCATCTAAACACAATTTATAATTCAAAGTGTAATATCATTTAACTTTTAATTTCTTCATTCCAGAAGGAAATATCTAAAAAAAAACTCTGAATCTTCACTCTTCTGGATCACATGGTACATACACACACTGAATTCATCCCTTTAGTTTTCACTACTTCAATAATACAGCTTTTATACTGTTTAACCAATTAGAAATGCAAATGAAAAGCAAGAATATTAAATTTGAACTTCTAATCTTCTCAATTTGCTTGATAATAATAAATGGCAAATCCCACCTTTCCATAGCTTTGAAGGCAATTATCTATATCATGTCTACATGTCTGATAGACATGTATATAACCAATGGAAACAGCACATTCTAACATACAATAATTTTTAAAGTTTTTTTTTATTATATATATATTTGGTGGTTAAAACAAAAGTTGATAAGAAAAGCTTGAAATGTTGCTCCTAGCAGTAACAGAATTCTTTTTATCCTATTTATAGCTTAGTTAGAAAGACCCATAAAATTATAGTACTTTTGGGAGATTATTGTGCCTAACATATTTTGTGTTCTAAAATGCATATTTGAAAGCTACATAAATTATTTTTCCAATAACCACATATTGAGAAAAAAGTATGGTTACTGATCCATGGTATCCAAGTGCAAATGGCCTTAATGCTAAATTTCTTGTATTATGTATTGTTACATATTATTTTTTAATAAAAGCAACTAAAATGTAGAAATTAGAAACTTCTTTAATAAAATTTAAGTTGGTGGGTCACTTTGCAAGCTCACACATGATTATAACCTGATTGTTTGCTTACTCTAGGCTTTTATTGGAAACATTGTATCGTGATTTTTTTCCACACAGAAAGAGGATATAAAAGTACATTAAGAAAGCCATAAAATTAAACAAAAACAGATGTGAAAAAGTTAACAGCCGAAATTGTGATAAGTAACTTGTAACTTTCTGGTCAATACAGCAATACTGATAACAGAGGAAAAAATAGTATTCATTACATTTCATATTTTTCTGCTTTTCATTTCACTGTAATTTGACAATATCACCACTGTTAGTATTATGGTAGAGAAGATAAGAGATAAAATATAAATATTTAAAACAACAAGTAAAATTGAGATATTCAATTTAGAGGTTATGTAATGAAGTATGAAAACTAAGATGAAATGAGCCAGAAAATCACCCTTGGCTCAATAAAGGCTTCATAAATTCACAGATAAATCTTTAACAGATATATTTAATAAGGTTTTTTTTTACATAACTGACTTGTGTCTTGCCAAATCTTGTGAAGATACACTTAGTAAATTCAAGAATTATAGTCTGCACAGTTTCAAGCTTCCAAGGCAGGTCAAACTGACCTACTTCATATGGAAAGAATTGAAATATATATATAAAAATGTTTTGTTTTGCTACAGGGTTTCTAAATCCTGTTCAGCATTACTAAATATTGTCCAAGGTGTACAGGGAAAACTTCAGAGATGAAGAATATCTTCTGATATTTTCTTCTTTTATGTGATTACAGAAAGTTTTATAATTCAAATTATGTATTTCACTTCCAGATTGTTAATCCAAATTTCATGTTTTAATATATTTCTGTGACATCCCCAACCATTTTCTATTTCTCTGATTTTCCAGGTTTGTAGAAATCTATAAAGTACATTGTTTCATCTACAAATGTACAGATTAAACGAAAAAATCAAACTTTTGTCTCTTCCACTGCTTTAGAAATAAGATTGAGCAATTTTTTCTTTCTTTCAAATATTGGAATTTCTAAAAGGAAAAAATCTAAAGCTTCTATTAATTAAATTACATTCAGTGTGAAGTTTTTATTTTAACGCTTTCAATACGGTCTAGGTCCCTGGGACCAACCTTGTAACTATTTTGTGCTTGTTATAATTTTCATACTATAATTTTTAAATTAGTAACCATATGTTAACGAAATTTGGCAGATTATCAGTAAACATTACAATGCTTTCATATGCAAAACATTAATATATATTTTTTTTTTATTAAGTTTTAAGGTTTGTAAAGCAATATTTCTCTCATGCCTTTTTTTTTCTTTTCACATTTTGAAACTTCACATGCAAAATACTTATGTTGTCCAGATTGTTATCAAACATTTCTTAAAGAAAACTTTATATGTTATTTTCAGTAATTAATCTCTGTATGGGTTCAGCAGGTTTGACCGATCTCACAACTACCATAAGAAATTAGGAAATAAGTATAAATTATGCCTTATTCATTCTAGAATGAACACAAATTATAATATGAAAACAAATGTTTAGACAAAATAGCTAAATATCATAACATTATACATTGATAATATTTATTATTTTTATTATATTGACCTTTTAGCCATGCCTGGCTAACAAAACAAAAGTTACGACGACACAGAGCACATGCACTCATGTATCCAATAATATATAACTGACCTTTAGTCTTTACAAAGTAACTTGTCTTTGCTGTGTTTTAGTAGACTATTATTTTGTAAAATAGTCATATTTCAATTACTATATATTACACATGTGTATAGATTATTGCTATTTTGAAACAAGTTCTTAAACTTATCATTCTTAATACATAGAACAGTAACTAAAGAAGTAAAGCAACAATTATCTTTTCTATTTAAGACCTTTGTTGCTGCTTGACATAAGTTGTTAAAGCCTTTAAAGGATTTACATGTGGAGGATATGAAAAAAAACTTATTTTAGGTTTTATATATACATTTGAATAACTAAAAAATAATGAACTACTACATTAATACCACAGAATTCCACTATAATTTATCAAGTTTAGTAACTAAGATGCATTTTAGTCTAAAAACATATGAAGTTTTGAGCAGACTAAAGACACACTCCACCTTGTTGAAATATTGGTTCAAAACAAAGAAATTGCACCAAGCCCATTAAAATGACTGAGAAAGCCACTAGGGGACATTCTGAGCTTCCAATTGGTTATTCATGTCATATACAGAAGTGTATATAAGGAAGCATTTCCAAAAATGGAAAGAGGTGGGTGGGGTGCCACTGATTTATTACATGAGCAATATCACAGCAAATTGAAAAGATAAGATGTTCTTATTTTATATTCTAGCTTGTCAATATTGATAATTTGAGTTTCTAATTTGTATGAAATTATAGCCTTAGTATTTTGACCTCACAAACATCTAATTTGAACCAGTGCTGCATTCAACATACCAAAAATCGATGTTTATCTGTTTTTTTTAATATTTACTTTTAAATTATAATCTACAGTTTGATATTAAACTTATTGACATAAATTCATGAAATAGTAGTTCAATAAATTTTGAATTCGAGTCAACAAACAAGATGACATGGCCTTTAACCCTTGACCCACCTCGAAAGGGTTAAAGCAGTTTTGCCACATGTTAGTCCAAAATGACGTGATGCACCAATACAACAGACTACTGAAGATCTGTTTGAAAGCTACATAGTTTCGGTAGTTACAAGTTAGTCTAGTGCTAACCATAAAGATTTGAAATTTCTATTTTAAAAATCTTACAGGGTTACCATTTTGTTTTAGCCTTTTTTTTTCAATGAAGCTTTAAAATTATTCTGATATTAATACTAGTTCAGTTAAACATTTCTACTTTTAAACTTGAGTACTACTGGTTCTAGGGTCAAGTTATCACTCACATAGGCAGTTCTACAGGCAAATTTAACTCTAAGTCATATGTATTTTACAAAAATATTCTTTGTTAAATAACTGATTACGATTAATAAAACTGTTTTCTACCACCCCAAATGTGTATTATACAACATATAACTAAAAATACAGGAGTCCAAATGTAATGAACCACCAAAATTTTCATGAATTAGTTCACTGAAGCAACACATCATTCATTTTCCTGTGGATACTTCAAGTGTATATTGTCCCACATAAATGAATCAAAAACCTGCATCAGCTGTAGTCTTATTAGCATCAAATACACCTGAAATCTGATTTTGATGCAGATACCTCATTCATGTGTACCACACTCAAGATGAATTCCAGCCTAATTCTCTTTGCAAATTAAAACTCAAACACTTAAAATATTAGAGTTTATTTCTTAGGCTTCCATTTAGATAAAACAATGCACCATTTCTTTTACAAAAATAACTAATCAACATGCATAAATCTGAAAGTCTGTAAGCAGCACATCTGGGACAAAATTACTAGCTTTGAAATTTCATGGTAATTTTTACAGTACGAGAAACAACTTAAATTTCACAGTTTATCTAATTATATATATATGGCAGATTTTGTTAAACAAGACCGATGTCTGTAGGTTTACTTTCTTCTTAGAATTCTTCTCAAGAAGTCGATAAGCCGTCTTAACGTTGTTAGAACAACGGGTAAAAGTTGTAGCTAGTGATTAGTTGGCCGACGTGTTTCGAATGCGTTCTGCATCCATTATCAAGGCTGAATGTTGTGTGAATTGTGATTACTGTTGGTGGATATTTATAGGTATGTGTAAGCAGGTGGTGGTATCTAGCTCGTGGGAGGCGTTAATTGGTGGAATGTTGTATTGTGGCTTGGGGGTTTCTCGCCAAGAAGCAGCAGTGTGCGTGCTGTTCCTGTCGATTGTTTGTTGATCATGGGAGTTTGCTGTAGGATTTTTATTGCTTCGTGAATTTGAAAGCTAATATTTTAGTGATCATGGACAAACAGGAATATAAAAC